CTTTGTGATTAAACTTGATGTATTGGTTGAGTTTATAGTGCTCTGCATAGTCTTGGAAGTACTGAAAATAACAGAGATTTTCATGTTTTGATTATGAAACTTTGCGATTGCTCGTATCAGTCTTACCAACAAAACTCCAAATATCAAGAAAAAAAGAATACTATTCAGTTTTTGTTTTACTAAAGTGACTAACCTCTAGCAATTTCCTATTGTGCATATAATTTGCAACTTGTGGCTTAGGTGGAAAATCACTGTACGCGCTCATCTCCTTAGACGAGTTGATTACGGTAGATTTCATCACAGACGCATCTGAAATCCTTTTTGGGAGATTAAAAATATAGATCTGAACTCTCACCTTCGCTGTCGTGTGGCTTGTAGTTCCACAAACCACCAACTTTGTCTGACATCTCGAAAACCACCGGTTCAAAACCATAGAGCAGTGCATGTCTGTAAGTTCCTTCAAAGTTATCTTGCTTGTAATTTCAAGTTGCTAATTTACCTTATTGACGGAAGGCCGCTAGGACCGGCGCCGATGATTGCGACGCGTTTCATCTAGAAATGTATATTGAAAACTCTCATCACTTTATCTCTGTTATCATATACATGTACAGGTAAGAGTCGGTGAATCATTGCATGATCCGCCGAAGATATAGCTTGTTGCTTTAAGTCGAATATTATTGAATACCATTTCTATATGGAATATAGTAATTACCAATCATATGGAGAAAGTCTAACTAGTCTACTAGGTGTTTTCTTTGAGTATATTTAAATCCCCTCTACAAAATGTTCTTTCGTCAACTTCTACTAAAATATTTTCAGTTTAAGTTGAATCAAATCAACATGCTTTTGCAACCAGATTTTGGCTATATTTTTCCACCCACTGATGGTGATTATGGCAGCCACTAGAGAGGAGGTGGTTGCACTGGATTTCAGAGAGAGGAGGTTGCACGGATGGTGAAAAAACGCAACATTTACCCTTCACTTCCTCTCCTTCCCCTTCTTCTCTCGGGGAAGGGGGCGGGATGTGTTAAAGTCGAGGTAGAAAAAAAAGTCTTCTCGTGCTCTTTTTTTATCAGTGGTGATTTATTCCACAAGGTAAAATTCCATTCCAACTCATGAGTTAAAATTTTGAGGTTTTATGTTAAAGAAGTGTAAACCTTCAGCCGAAGTTCCTAATAAATTTTCGGGAGGTGCTATATTTTGCCATTTTTCATAATTCACTTCCCATTTTACTTTATTAGTACTCAGTAGTCATAAATTTTGTGCGCTTTTACTGTTTTGTGAAAGTGAACGTTTAACTGCGTTCATACTTTTTTTTAAAAGAAAAAAAGACTGGCTCTAATTTGAATCACTACAGGACTCATTTAATGAAGTATAAGGGATAACTGATAAGTATCATTTATACAAGAATATGAAATTGGAGGATACATGAGGAACTCTGTAGGAATGCGTAAGTTCAGTTTGTTGCTGTATCAATGTCTGATAAGATAGCAGCATCCTGAATCAGGCTGCATGACGAAAGCGTGATAAGCACAGCTTCCGTACTACACTTTCAAAGACTATTGTGGTTCAAGAGGGCAGTGTAAATATTGATGATTCAAAACTTGCAGTAAATCCCTAACTGCAAGTATTGATTCATTACAGACACCTAAAATAAATCTCCCTTCCCTTTAAAATCGGTCTAAGCGAATCATTTTTGGTGTTGATAACATTTGTCATTTAGTTTGTACGCATCATATACTTGTGCTTGTGGGTGTATAGGTTGAGAACTTTTAGAAGCCATTTCAACTCTGGCCAGTCACTCGTAAAGTCAAGCTAACGCTTTAAGTGTCCTATCACTCGATTTCTACCCTCGGGCAAAAGAAAGCCTATTTTTGTTTATTTTTTGGGTTTCATGTTTGTCTTTTCCCTCTCAGATAACTAGGATGTGCTTTAGCTCCAGTGTTTCGATCCGCCTTTTCAGTCCTTAAATCAGACGCTTGTTGGTCGCTTGTGGAGACTGCTTGCCAGCTGCGTTTGCCTTGTTTTTTTCAAACTACTGGAACAGATGTTATTAGCTACAAAAAGTCTAAAATGTAAATTACTTTAAAGTATAATCGCATAGAGCAATACTCTTTATCAATTATCACCAGAGTCGTAATCATAACTATAGGTTAGATACATAGAGCCACGGCTCTGGTCACCTTCACTAATGAGCTAAGAAAGAGTAGGACCCTCACCTAATAGAGTTTGAGTAAGTCGATGTCCGGGGCTCCGCCATA